TCCCTAACTGGGCTCCAATTCTTGGACCATCTAATTGGGCTTCATTTTTTGTATTTCAACACAATCATGCATGAAAAGTTGTATTTCTAACTTCAAAAATGGAATTTGAAGATGGAATGTTGTAACGACTACTTCAAATCCAAGTAGTTCATGAAAAGTTTGCCTCGGGGGCTGATAAGTACATTGGGGAGCCTTCTTCTTACAAACCAGTTGTAAGTGTTGGTTCGACTCAAGTACTTGTAATAGTAATATAAACTCCACTCCTTCGTGATGAGACGACTTGGGGGACTTACTTCTACTAGTGGTACTAGTCATCTAGATGTTACTCTTTTCGGTCTTACAATAAAAATCTGAAGAAAGTGCTGGTTTTTTAGCATCATCAACTGATAAAAATTCTTTAAACTTTTGACCAAAGCTTTTTCACTTTGCATCAAATTATGTCCAAGCCACAAATTCATTTTGGTAAGGTGGACTAGACTGCATAATCAGTAAGTAAAAAGATAAATAAGCTGAAATTTAGTCAATTATAATCTCCCAATACAGTTTAATACCGTATAGCAAACATGCATTAATCTTCTACTAACCTGATAAATCACAGCTTCTGCAAAAATTTTGTCACAATCTTCCATCACTTCCTTTCCCAGTGGTGCAGCCCCTGATGCAATCTCCTTTAAGGACGAAACATCATATTTCTTCACGACCTCTGGCCGCTTTGCCAATTCTATAACTACTGGCGGCACAACAAACATATGTGCAACCTTGTACTTTTCAATAGCCATTAACATCTTCTCCATCTCATATTTTGCCATCACCACCACTGTGTTCCCTCTCTGCAGCTGCGCATATAATACTACCGCCAAACCAGAAATATGAAACAAAGGAAGAAAACACAAGAACACGTCCTTTGGATCTCGATAAACCTCTTGATCCGATGTTAACATTAGAGATGAGGCGATGAAATTTCTGTGGGTTAATACCACCCCCTTGCTAGTTCCAGTAGTCCCGGATGAATACAATAGGGCTGCAACATCAGTTTGTAAAACTGATGGCAGTGGTAGTAACTCAGATGAATCCAATGATTCAATCAAATCTGAGAAATACCATATTGGAATGTTTGGATTGACTGTAATATGAACTGAAGTTTTGGGACTTAGAATAATACAAGGTAGATTCAAATGCATGATTTTATGATAGAGTTCATGAATTGTGATGATAAGTTTTGGGTTTGAGTCCTCGGCCTGTTTTGTGATCTCCCTCGCGGTGTACTGTGGGTTGGCAGTGGTGGCAATAGCACCAATGCCCACCACGGCGAGGAAAGATACAGAGAAAAGGATTGAGTTCCGGGAAAAGATGAAAACTACATCGTTTTTGGAGATTTTTAGATTGAGAAGTGCATTAGAGAGCTTAGAAACTTGTTTTCTGAGGTCTGAAAATGTTAAGATTTGGCCAGTTTCGGAATCAACAAGTGCAGTAGTTTGAGCAATGGATGAAAAATTTCTAAAGAGGAATGGAACCATAGAGATTTCTGGGTCATGGGGTAGAGAGATTGGCGGTCTTGGGGATGTGTAGATTCCATCTTTGCTGTAGAGTGGAGTTGACATTGAAATTCAGGCAAGATTGGTTTATGGGATTTTTGCAGATGGGTATGGGAAGATGATGTTACATGAGTTTGTTTTATGTAAAAGGACAAAGAACACAACGTTAAACGAAGTATAATTTATTATATACTTGAAAACGTTAGACTTGGACAAATATTCATGTCTCAAGTGGCAAGGATTATTTAAAAAATAAAGTTGAAAGCTAGGCAAAAAAGACTTGGACAAATATTTGACGGTCTAACGACTCCATAACCTAACGTAAGTCGTCAAATTTGCTTTATGTTATGGACTTATCCATGTTCTGTTCTTATATATTTATATTGCTAAATTTGATGGATATCCACATAATTTTGTGTAAATAATGTTAATTGTAGGAAACTTAAAACTTCGAAGCAATTGACGTGAACAAGTACTTTTCAGAGCTTAACTGAAGTTGATTCGAAGTAATTGAAGATTAATCGGATGGCAAATGAGTGATTATAAGTAAAAACTAAAAAGAGAGCTATCAGAAGAAAATTACAAGTTTTGGGGTAAACTTTAACTTTTGAAAAGCATGGGGACTAAATTAAAAACTTATGAAACTTGAGGCGGACCAATTACAAATGATTATTAAGTTTCAGGGACCAATCTTGAAGATATTGGAAGTTTCGTCATAGAAATTGAACTGTGGATGAGAATTGGATGAATAATGGAATGTGGGGACTAAAATGTAAATTTCGAAAGTTAAAGGGCTAAATTGAGAATAAAATGATAGGCTGAACAATCTATTTAATTTAGGGACCAAAATACATAGAACTAAAGTTTAGTGACGGGTGCAATCACACCGACAAATTGGGGGGTGGGGTGCAAAACATAAGTTGGGTAATGAAATCACACGAAGATATGAAGTAATTGTATTGAGTGAGACAAAGAGTTTCACTTATTCATGACAATGATTTAGAATAGCTCCAACTATTGCTCGTTGACATAACTGGTGACCATCTTGATGGAGCCGCGTCAGCCACTGTTGCTACCTCATTTCGAGCTTGTTTTGGAGGAATTTTTGAGGGAGGAATTGATTTTTGAATAGTGATATGATGGGAAATGTATGGTTGAAAAATAAGAAAAAATTATTGATGTGATAAAAAATATTATTTTATTGAAAAATGTATGGTTGAAAATGAGAATTGATTTACTGTAGAATTTAAGAATCTATTCCAAACACCCCCTTCATCCACT